TTTATTTGGTCATTATACTGAAGATAATAGAAGAAAATACTTTCAATTATGCAAAAATACTATTCCATTTTCATAGCATTTCTCAATAAATTACTTCCAACTTTAGTCCTTAGAAAGCAGAATGAAACAATAATATTATCAAAAACTGTAAATGTGTTAAAAATGCATTAAAACATATTTTTAAAAAATGAATATCTTACGTTAAAACGCTAGCTTTGATATTCCTTAAATAAAAAGAATTTGTTACTTTTTTTTCTTTTTCTTCATTTTTGCTGACCCACCCAGCATCTCCTTGCAGCCCCCCAGGCGATCCCTGAACCCTTGTTTATGGACCGTTTATAATAGATGTTTTACCATTATATAAAGAAAACACAACAAAAAAATGTGACCCTGGACCACAAAACCAGTCATAAGGGTCAATTTTTGGAAATTGAGATTTATATATCATCTGAAAGCTGAATAAATAGGCTTTCCATTGATGTATTGTTTGTTAGGAGAGGACAATATTTGGCCGAGATACAACTATTTGAAAATCTGGAATCTGAGGGTGCAAAAAAATCAAAATACTGAGAAAATCGCCTTTAAAGTTGTCCAAATGAAGTTCTTAGCAATGCATATTACTAATCAAAAATTAAGTTTTAATATATTTACAGTAGGAAATTTACAAAATAGCTTCATGGAACATGATCTTTACTTAATATCCTAATGATTTTTGGCATAAAAGAAAAATCAATAATTTTGACCCATACAATGTATTTTTGGCTATTGCTACAAATATACCCCAGCAACTTAAGACTGCTTTTGTGGTCCAGGGTCACAAATGACAAACTTCAGCTTTAAAATATCACAGCACAACAGTTTTAAGTTTTAAACCGGAAATGCAGCATGTGGCCATTTGAAAGTATCAGTCTATTGAGTAATTGTATTCTTTGTGTTCCTCTCTAACAGAGATGGCCGAGCGCCACGACGTGCAGCACATCCTTCGAATAGCGCGGGAGCTGGTACACAAAGTGCAGACCCTTATCGAGAACAAGTGAGAATAAGAGTAGGCTGCCGCCCACCGAGTCCTGCCTGGCCGAATCTCCTTCTCTCGATCCCAACAGCCCAAGGCTTGAGACTGGCCCGGGATCTGCCTCGACGTCTTGACTCTTAATATCGTTTGCCTGCCACAGAATGCCGTTGTGTCAGACCCTGGCGTTGTCTGCATGCTCGTGGTGTTTGAGCACACTGTGACTGAGGTTTTTTTCCTTTCTTGCTGTACACGCCTCCAGCACACACACCGCACCGATCAGGTCCTTTTAGATCTGCTTTTATAAGAAATGGGAAGCCTCATACAGGGGTGACAACCGTTTCCTTTCCCTAATGGCCGCTAAATGTACAGTAAGTATTCCACTCTTAGCGGTGACGATGGTGTTTCTGAAAGAAAGAAAAAAACGGCGTCGAGCAGTTTAGCTGAGCACAGTTTTGAATCCTCAAACGAGGTTGCGTTACGTCAGCTCCCTTAAATAATATCTATGCCACGAAGAAGTCGTCCAAACAGTGTGTGACCAAAAGGACTGTGCCAATAATCTTGTACTAGTATTTATATGCCTTGTTTTATTGTTTAGCTTCTCTATTGCCCCTTTTCTTCTGTACGATTGCCTCGATGTTTCGGTTGATGGTGATGATGATGGTCTTGGAATAAAAGTAGTTGGCGTTGCCTTTGTAACACGTTTCACGACCTGCGTCCATACTTCTGCACTTTGAATCTGTCGCTCCGTGACACCCGTGATGCTTCTGAGTGATAGGTGTTATCAGGGGTCACTATACTTCCCTTAGTGTCCTAAAGTCTGGAAAGGGTCCACAGGCTCTTCCACGGGTCAGAAAACTGCTTCCATGTGATGAGACGAGTGTGACGAAACTAATTAGTCTTTAGCGTGTCACATTTTAGATGCTGGTTGGCTTTGTTCACACTGCATATACTGTACACTACTGTTCAAAAGGTTGGGGTCAGTAAGATTATTATTTTTTTTTTTTAAGAAATCAATTTTATTCAGCAAGGATGCATTAAATTAATCCAAAGTGACAGTAAAGGCATTTATAATGTTACAAAAGATTTCTGTCTCAAATGAATGCTGTTCTTTTGAACTTTCTATTTTTTTTAAAGATTCCTGAAAAATAAAAATGTACCAAGGTTTCCACAAAAATATTCAGCAGCACAACTGCTGTCTTGAGCAGTAAATCAGCACATTAGAATGATTTCTGAAGAATCGCGTGACACTGAAGACTGGAGTAATGATGCTGAAAATTCCGCTTTAACGTCACAGGGATAAATTTGTTCTAAAACATATTCAAATAGAAAACAGTTATTTTAAATTATAATAATATTTAACAATATTACTGTAATATTCAAAAACATTAAAACAAATCCTACTGACTACAATCTTTTAAACAGTAGTATCCTGTTATTTTTCCACATTCCAATCTTTATTACTGATTACTCGCACTTATCATTTTGCAACTCTGATGATGTCCCAAATCATGAAAAAGAACTACTTGAATCTGATCTGACTGTTCAAATATTGGATTTTAAATGAGAAATGTCACTAAATTTAACCTGCTTTTAGCACGGTTTGGCTGTATATCATCAAACGTGTCTCACTGCTCTTTTTAAAGGAACATTGCATACTAGTTGCACATTTTTAAGTGTAATTCACTTCCATACACTCTTCGAAGTAATTGATGCCTGAGGCTGTTTGCGATGGAATACTAGCTAACTGAATACTTCACACAGAACTGCGTACTATTTGTTCTTGAATAGTATGTGAAAAAAAATGCAGTATGCGGTGCAGAGTGTGACATCCAATCGTCATTTTGGAAATAAAGTTATTTATAGTTGAGATGTTAACTTTTGACATTTCCTTCAAATGATATATTGGAAATGGACTGTTAAGTCAAGCACATTGCATTGTGGGATATTAATATTCCATGCAGGGTGCTGATATAAACTACACATTTGGTCATCAGGGTATTTCACGCATACAGACAATTCACACATTAGTATGCGTACTATATACTGCAGAAGTAGTAGTATGCTAGTATGCTATTCCAAACAGCTTCAAATCCACAAAAACAAAAACCAACGGTACTTTATTCTAACAGCTGACAGAGATTATGGGAGAAGTGGTCTTATGATGTGACTATTGGTCACTGCCTCAAATCTTGCCAATTCCTTTTGTTCTTGGTTCTGGTTGAATGCGTGCGAGGGATGTTTTAGCCCTTATGAAAGGTTTACTTCCGACAGGAGCTCATGTACCAAAGCCTCTAAGCAATGTTAAACCATATCTCAAAGACTGTTGATTAGGTGTATAAAAGACAAATCATTTCTTTTAATTTCTACTGCGAGACATTTATTATCCTCCTTTCCTTGTGTATTATTGCACTGTAAATAAAGAGAAAAGCCCTGGATTTCTATGAGGACACTACTGTCAGCTGTATTTCAGACACTATTTTTTACTTCGGTTTTAGAGACTGGGCTAATCTGGAGAGCTGTACAATTGAAATGTGGGAAACCTTCGTTACTTGTTGACTGTTATGTCCTTTATCAACGTTGTGCACTGGTTTCTAATCGTTTAAAATATATATGTACATTTTTGTTTGGACGCCAACATCAGAATGAAGTATGCATTGTAACGGATGTATCATTGAATGTACATGTATTATGGAAAAAAAAAGTTGTTCCTAAAGATTAAAACATTTTCATATGCAGACTTTTTTTTTTTTTTAGCCGTCTGTGCCACTTAATAGTGTACATTTTGAATAACTTAGAAGTTTAAACAGCAGATCAAAAAATATATTATAAATATAAAATATTTATATATTAAGTTTGGGGACAATAAGATTTAAAATTTAGTTTCAAATCAATTTATGCATTACATTGACAGAAGGTAACAGTAAAGTCATTTCTAATGTTACAAAATATTTCTGTTTCAAATAAATAGTTTTTTTTTTTTACATTCTATTCATTCAATAACCCTGTAAAAAAAAAAAAAAAAAAAAAAGATTCCAAAAAAAAATTAGTAAAATACACGTTTTTCGGCGGGGATCTTCCAGTAAAATTCACATT